CTTGTCCAGCAGGGTGAGAGCAGCCGCTTCCCGTCAGAACCCTCGCCCCCCGTGGGGGCGTGCCGGGGCTCCACACCCACAACGCCGCGCCGCGCACCCACCTACGGGGCAGCTCCTGCGGTTGCACATCTGCCGCTCGGTCACGTCGCCCACGCAGGCCTTCCCCCCATGCTGCGGCTCTGGGCTGTTGCAGACCCGCGAGCGCTCCTTGATCCCGCCGGCACAGGTGACTGTGCAGGCCGACCACGGGGACCAGGGGCTCCAGCGGCCGTCCACTGTGGGGAGACCCAGGGAGGGGCTCAGAGGAGGGCCTGCGGGGCCTGAGTGCCAGCCCTGCCATGGCAGGGAACGGTTGCATTCTGCTCTCACGGAGCTATGGGCCTGGGACGCCCATGCCACCAAACCCTCTCCTGATCAGGGATTCGCACTCCGGATGCCGTGGGCGACAGGCCCCCACAGCCCTGGGGAAAGCGCTGAGCCAGAGCTCCCTACCCTGCAGTGTGTCCTGGTAGTGGACAGTCACCCCAGGAAACATGGCTCCTGGGCACGGACGGACAGCTGGGAGTGGCGAGGCACCCCAGGTCCACACCCATCAGCATCACTTTCTAAAGGGCCCTGGTGCTGCACCCCTGCCCCGCGGCAGTGCACTCCCAGCACGGCAACTTCCATGCATGCTGCCTGGCCCAAGGGCAGCCTGCAGGGGTCGCTGCAGGGGAGGCAAAGCCCAGCCCTCCAGCCCCGCACCAGCTTCCACCTCACCCTCTGCCCAACCGCGCCCTCCCTGCAAGCACCTACTCTGAACAGCCCCACGCAGGGCCTCGCGCCCACCCACTCACCTGGGCACGGGGGTCCCCGGCAGGCCTTGGTCTCCCGGCCGCCCCCCTTGCAGTTCCTGCCCCCCAGCTGGGGCACCGGGGAGTTACAGAGCCGGATACGGGTGATGTTGCCGACGCCGCAGGTCACCGAGCACGAGGACCAGGGCGACCAGTGGCTCCAGGCCCCCTCCCTTCGGAG